TGTTGAGAAACCCTGATGAAACACAAAGCCCGAGTTTATGAAACATATCTTCTGAAGTTTTGCTTTAAAGAGGATGTCGATGAAAGCTATCAGTTATCATATCAGTCCACTTTTCCTCTATTAAATCAGGTTGTGCGTAGCCATTAAAATGGACATCGATTTAGTGTTCTCAGTTTCTCCCAAATGTGATCGAAATTAAACTGAAATTTTCATCGTTAAGTCGTCAACAAATTTTAATTGCAACGTTACGAATAAGAAAGGTTTGCGAGGCAAGTGTCGAAATTTTTTTTGCGCGTAAGTTACCCTTAATTCTTACGAAAGACTTTCTAAGTTTTTTGGAAAAACTCCTATTGAACGTTTTGGTGTGCAATATAGGACAGCATTCTTAGTTGTTACTTTGATTATGTTCGCGGCGCGACAAAATTAGCCCTTTTTGAATTTTTAGCAATACCTCACTTCTACATGTGTCATGATTTATTTATATTAATCCATCATTTCTTTGAGAGGCCCAACAAGAGCGAAAAGCTATTTCCACGATCCATCCTCTTTCAAACATGAATAATCAGTGAGGTTTTCTTATCCACGAGTATATTCTCATCAAAATTAGTAAGGAACTGAGATGATTCTGATCTTACTTTAGTGTAATCCTTATTTTGCTTGCCTTGCAGCGTCTCAAGAAAAAGCGTCAGCAATTGGCTTTTACTAAATCTTTATAGTTTTCAATTTCCACATAGTCTAACGAGTTGCACACTGTACGCTAAGTATCAAAGGAGTAAATTGAGTAAATTGAAACTGAAGTGCTACCTAGGCGGGCGGTGGGTTTTACAAGAAAATTTGGTTTTATCAACTAAGTTTATAATGTTGACTTGGCCACCGTGAAGAATTGCTAAAGCTAAGGATTTGTCTTTAAGTGGAGGGAATCTATGTTGTAGACATTGCTTTTCGTTTATAGGTCACCTCAACTAAACTAAGAATGATTTTCTTCAGGACAAAAAAGACTTAGCTTGTAATAGGTGGTCTGATGCCATCTTATGACCATTATCTGAGCATGTGTAGTGATTAAATAAGTTCCGAAGATAGCATTTATATTTTAAAACTTATGCTGCCTTGACCGTCTATTATTAAGAAACTTGGAAAGGACATTTTGAATGGAAATCTAGAAGTTATGGCTATTTTTTTTGTTGACTTAAAAATGGTCAGGCTATTGGAGGAGAAAGACTGACTTTGCTGTATGTTTCTTTTGTAAGAGATATCAA